CTGGGCACGGAATCTTCTTTGCGTAGGCACTTTCCAAACCTAGCACTTCAACCAATCCTTCAATGTACTTTGCATTCATCGTGATTTCCACATTTCCATCATCTGTAGCTTGAAATCCTCTCTTCAAGAAACTCATCGTACCTTCTCTTTCATCCATAGGTCCTTCTATCTTGATCTTCAATCCTTTTCCTTTCAGAAAGTCAACCAACCTATGAAAGTCTTTCCTTGAAGCATACAGTTCCATATCGTCCACATGTGACAACACGATGATTCCTTTCTGTCCTTCTTCGGGTCTTTTGTAAAACAGCGCTGGTAACCCATCATCGGACGTTAATCGGAACTCTTCTAAGTATCCTTTCAGTTTGTTGAACCAAGCGCTCGACCCAATTCGTTGTCCTGGGAGTGTGAATCCCAGTTCGTAGTACTTTCCGTCAACTTTGACCACAGTTGGTTCTTCTTGTTCCACCATCAGGTAAGCATCTCCAACGTCTATGTACCCGTTTGAGGATACAAACAAACCTGACAGTAACTTCACCGTGCTTGCAACTCCAGTTGGCGAAAAGAAACTCGCGATGTCATACGAAGATAGCCATCTGAATTCACGGGCTACCAATCTTCCTCTTCTTCGCCATTCACCTTCACGGTGTCGCCAATCGTATACCACTTTCGTTGACAGAAACTTGTACTTTGTCACGTCTGTTCCTTCTGGCATCTCTTTCAGCACATTCATTTCCATCAACCTTTCAAGCTCTTTCTGTCTTGATACTCCATCAACTCTTTCCAGCTCACTTTCGTCCAACTTTGGTGGTCCATCTTCCACTGCGTGAGACCATGTTGGAATTTCCTCAGGTATCTCATCTTCACCATCAGACATGAATTCACCATTTTCGCTTCCTACTGCCGTTTCCAGCTCATCAAGCTCATCAAGTTCCACTTCTTCATCAATATGGTATCTTGGCAGTTCTTTCCTCATGAAATGAAACTTTTGATCTCACTCACGCTTCTCACATTTTCAACTCTAACCGCTTCAAACTTATCAGGTCTTTCTTCAACTTCAGTTGTTCCTTCATCAACTCTCTGTCTCACAGGTTCAGACTCTTCAGCTTGACCTTCCAAGTTTCTTTTCGCTGGCGATGACGGCGGTTCCTCACCTGGTATCATCTCCTCAGACGATGTACTTCTATCACTTCTCTTCCTCGTCTTTCCTCTATGGCCTACATGTCATCTTCAACAGAGGCCTATGGCGGAGGAAACGGAGGGAAACAACCTGGTATTTCTCTTCCAGACGGGCTGCACAGGGAGTGGAATGCCGAATTCCGGACAATCTCCGCAAGTTGCGTCATTCCAGTGTTATGCACCTCATCGTGGTTCAGTTCAAGAAGGATTGTGTTGCGAGATCCACTTTGGCCAACGCCGTTGGCAAATTGGATGAACCAGTGAAATGAGGGCGGTCTGCGTCGTGTTTGACATGGCGCTTGAGCGGTTTTGTGCCTTACGGGAAAACGATTTTATGCCCAGTCGGCCGTTTTTGTGCATTGCTCCGTCTTGCAACAATCCGGAGGAGCATTAGTCGGGCTCGCTTGGCAGCATCGCGGCGGGGCGCGTTGTGATCTGATCGGCCGTATGTGACATCCAACGGGGATAGCCGTGCAGTGGTCCTGCTGACAAAAGCTTTGCTTGTATGCCTCGAGCGAGCTGGCTGGCATGCATGCGAATTTGATCGCATTGTGCTAAGTTGATCTCCGCGTATATCCGCGGGTGGGCAGTGGGGAGTATATGATGACTTCCATCAGGAATGTCATAGACATTGCCGCCCTAAGGCGGCCAGGAAAGACTCCTGCTTGCCTGCGCATAGCGGACCGCGAGGCAAGAGAGAGAGATAGAGAGAGAGTACTCCTATCCCACAACCCTGACGAAAGAAAGAGAGTACTAGGTCCTATGCCCTGGGGAAGAAGAAAAAGAAGACAGTACTACTTCAGCTGATGTAGGTACGTGTAGTCGAACCCTCTGGTACGTGTACTGCTTCCCCCGGAAGCCCCGCAAGCCGTGGGGGGGCCCATGGGCTGAGGGGCCTGACAAGCCCCTTTAACCTGAAGGAAGGAAGAGAGAAGAGAGAAGCAGCAGCAGCAGCAGCAGCAGGAGGAGGAGGAGTAGTGGTAGTGGTGGTGATGGTGGGAAGTAGAAGTCATCGTGATGGTGGTGGTGGTGGTAGCAGAAGGAGCAGCAGCAGTAGCCACAGACAGGTTTCAGCACTGGAGTCAGACCACCGAGTCTTTGCCCTTTGCTCAATAGCATGTGTCTTTTCATGGACAGGCGGAGCACCTGCAATCAACGTACATTTGGCTCGCTTAAGTTGACCAATCCGTTCCATGGTCTATGTATTCAAAGGCAACACAGCCCCTTAGAAGCTGAACATGCCGCTCATCAAACGATTTTAGTCAGATCAAGGTCCATGTCACGTAGGCCTCCGCGCCGTCGCTTCCAGAGTTAACGTGCCGGTGGTTGTTAGAAAAGCTTGTTTTCAATGCTGCCATGCCGCTGGTCATGCCTGCACATCGTAAACCCTATACGGTGGAGGAGGCCGGCAGAATCAGCAACAGCATTGCACGGTGTTTGAACCCTGTTGAAAGCTTTCATTTGCCGAATTAGGAACATCTTGCCTCGGTCTGAGCTTTTGTGACTTGAGCGCAAGCTACATGATGGCCAGGTTATCAAGCACAACACCCCCTCCTCGTTGTGGGTCATAATGAATCGAAAGGCGCCAGCGACACAAAAATGATGTGGCCTTGCCGATGTGGGATGAGCATGCACTGCATGGTGATTCCTGTCGCGATGTGTCGGTGGCACAGGTGTATGATGTGACGAACTTCCACAAAAAACACCCTGGTGGACCAGGCTGGGAAGCATACGTTCACGGAAAGTTTGCCAATGGTACATGTCGAGATGCGAAGAAGTTTGCCAGGTGTGCTGCTGCAGATGGGTGGCAAGGCCCCGGACATCGATTGTCATGTGCAGCTGGCCGAGTGCATTTGCCATTCGGGCCTGAGTGTGTCAGGATGCAACAGCAGCAGCTGCTGCTGCTCACAAAAGCATTCTGCCTGCAAACCTGATGTGGGAGTTTTGCATCGGGTACATTGTCAGGCCTGCGGGCCTGCGGTTTTGCATAGACGACTCTTCGCGCAATTCGCAGAGCTTTGACAGGACAAAACCACAGGAGGGGGCAGTGGGGCCCCCTTCTGAAAGCAAGACTCCGGTACAGAAGAAGGCAGCTTTCGTGAATTCTCACTGCATGGGAGCTTGACTGCTATAGATGCAGTCAGTGGTTTCAAAACGCTCCACAGATCCACACAGCGTTTGAAGGGTTTGTAGTTGCAGGCGGCATCCCCCGCGAAAGGGGCATCTCCTCGCTCATCGAATGTTGCCACGTGGCCCAAAGATTGGCTGTACCCTACGTCAGAGCAGCAGAAACTCCGCCGATTCCTCGAACTGCCCGTTATTTTCCATATTCCTACGACCGCCTCTTCTTATGCTAGAAGGCATAGGGCCCTTTTCCAGTCAGTCCAAGGACAAGGTGAAGAGCGAGGTGAAGAGCCGCTCTTTTGCAACTTGATGACCGGCAAAAGAGTCGTGAGGGGAACATTGCTGTGGCACGCTCCAGGCATCGCGTCATCCGCTCAAGACGGCCTCAGCGACATGCCCTGGAACGTGTTTGTTTTGGCAGTGATTTCTCTCCACCATGACCTCAGATGACATGCATGACAACAAAAAAGCTACATGCGGTCGGTGTTGAGACTGTATCCTCGTGGTCCCAAGGCGACATCACAGATGCAGAGAGCCCGCTTGCAAAAGCGAGAGCGAAAGTTTCTAAACTGCATGGGGCAACGACATCTTCTGCTTGTCCTTTCAGTCTCCGTCTCTGGATGTTTCTTGGTTTGTGTGTGTATGTGTGTGTCTATGTACTCGTCAGTTTGAGAGTGTTGCTTGGTCTTGCACTGTGTTTATGTCTGCCTATCTACTACTCTCTCAGTCTCTCAGTCTGTCGTTTCAGTATTTTTTTCTCTCGTTCTCTCTCTCTCTCTCTCTCTCTCTCTCTCTCGCTTTCTCTCTCTGTCTCCCTTTCTCTTTGTCGCCGTCTCGCACACTTTCTCGCTTTCCCTTTCTCTCCCTTTCTTCCTGTGCCTGTCTTTGTGGTCCTCGTGATTCAGGACCGAAACCGACTGTTTCATGCTGCTTCTTCATGCTCGCATGATATGATCGCATGCATGACCAAGAACAAGCGACGCTCCCCGCCATCCTTCGTTGCGGACGTGGCCTCTCAGCAGGCATTCATATCGCAAGCGGCCCCCCTCTCAAATCCTTTCTTTTGCTGTGCCCAGTCTCACATCTGCCCTGATCTGAGGAGCGTCTGCTGACGCGGCCCGTGATGCCCAGCAAGCAGAAGGACGGGTTGATGGCGTGGCACTGCTTTGCAAGATGCAAGCCTTTTTGCAGGACGTGTTGCAGAAGCAGAAGTCCAACAACAGCGTTCAGGTCTCGAAGCAGCTTGAGACCAGACTCGAATCGCTGCGGCTCTACGCCTCGGCTGTGCAGGCTGAAGGGAGAGAGGAGGAAAGCCCGGAAGCGGCCGCTTTCTCGGCACTTTGCTCTTGTACCACGCCAGATCTCTTCGCTCAGGCTTGCGAATCTCCAGATGTAAAGCCGGAGAGGTCCTTCACAACCATTATGGAAGAGGCGCGAGCGCGGGAAATTGATGCTCATAATGCGACATCTGGATGTGTTCCGATCTCAGATGGACTCTGAAATCTTACCGCTCTCCGACGATGCCCTCGCAGCTCCCGAGTCATCCTCTCAGATACGGAAGGGCTCGCAAAGAGACTTGGAGAGAGAGAGCGCCTTGAGGCCTTCGCCGGAGCCGGGGGGACTCCTCTGCTTCATGAACTCGACGGCTTGTTGGAGCAGCGACCCCAAACGAAAAGCTCAGACAAAGCAAAGAGCACTGAAGCACTGCGTAAAAGGAATGCCTCCGCAGGTGGTCGGCCCTCAAAGGTCGAGATGCCAGAGGACAAGGTGCGACCCTGCAGCTTCATCGCAGCTCGTGATCTGTGGCCATGGCAGGTAACAGGAGATTGGTCTTTGTCGTAGTGGCCGGTGTTGGGCGACGGCGACAGACTGCTCCTGGCTTTATTTGTCACTTCACACAGAAGCTGTGCCGATTGCACGTGCAATGCCCACATGCACTTTTAATGCGAATCTTTTCTTTGGCAGGAGTTAGTTTTGAGAGTTGGACATACCACTGATCAGTGTTAGGCTCGAAAAGTGTTCATTGGAAAGGAAAGACCGCGTCTCACTTCCAGAAGTGAAGCTGTACTGCTCGCCGGAACTGTGTTGCAAGGAGCTTTTTTTCTCGGCGATAACCCTAAACCCTAAACCCCAAATTCGGGTCCCGGCGGGCGGAGGATGCTTCCTCGGTTCATGTTCATGACTCCACGCTCTGGCTCAGCCGCTGGCAATGCCCATTTTTTTCGTGGGGGTCTTTCCTAAACCCTATAAACCCTAAACCCTTTGATCGGGGCTCTGATCGGAGGAAGATCATTCGGCCCTCTCAATGGAGGGCTTTGCTCGAAGCCTGGCACGTTTCCCCCGCGGTGCAAAAGGCTGCGAGCCGCCTTCGCCTTCTTCTTCGGACGATCCATGCCCTGCCTGGGTCAGACCACTTGCTCGCGAACTTCGCAGCCCCTTTTCGGCTTTGCAAGAGCCCCGTTAGCAAGCACAGGATACAGCCACCTGCCCTTGGGCTTACCGACTGTCAGCATGCGGTCGAAGAGCTAAGTGTTCCCACTCCGAGTGACAAACAATGCGTAAGACTGGCTTGCGGCTAGCGGTAGCTTGCTAGAGTCTGCTTGGGCGAATGTGGTGCGTGGCCACGACGTCTTATGCTTGGCTGGACGGGAGAGCTGTGAGTAAGGGAGATTGTCTGACCCGGAGATTTAACCGGCCCGGTGCATAGTCAACTTCATGTCGGTGATGCTGCTGCTTGCGCATGTGAAGTGATGGCTGCGCGGAGCCGTCTACTAATCATCCCTTGGCTCATCTGCCAGGACGTAGAATGCCCAAGGCCGGAAAGTGTTCGGTTTCAGTGCTCACCAGTGGCCTGAATTGTTGTGACTCTATGTAAAGCTTTTGGGTTTCGATTACGTTTTCGCGCTACGTTTATTCCATGTTATTGGTGCAGTACCGGAGGCTCGTCAAGTTCCGATCCGAATCCACTTGACCAAGCTTGTGAGGTGGTTACTTCGAGGCGATTGCCTGTGTACACCAACAAGGGCCAGAAAGAGGACGACAGGTTCAATGCCTTCCACTGCAAGAGGCGCTTACGTGCTAGCCTTCCATGGTCACTACCATTGCGTTTTCTTTGCACCACAGCTCGCCAAGACCAAGCCAGCGTTAGGCTTTGATGCAACTCTGCCAAGCTTGTTCAGCATGTCGGCACTCGCAAACCAAGCTTTTGCATTTCGAAGAGAACAGAAATCAAAAGTGCAGTGATGAAATTCTCTCATCAGGCGAAGCCAAAAACCCGGGAGGGGCAATGCTTCGCCTGCCCAGCTAGGGACCCAAACAACGTTCGAGTGACCCTGACAGGTGTCGTACACACTTGGTGACGACGGATGCTGATCTGGCGAACATCCCGCGGAGAAGGCCATGTACAAAAGCTGCCAGTTGCAGATAGAATTTGTTGGCACAAGGTTGTGCTCCCGTGTTCGAGCTTCTTGGTCACGTCTTCCTGGGCTCCCCGTAGTTTGGCGTCGGCGCTATGAAACCTGCTCTCAACAGCCCTGCCGCTGTGCAGAGCATTGCAGTTTGATCAACAGGCCAAGTTTAGAGAACCAGTCTCGGCGCCGGTGTGGAGTGGAGCCGCCACTGGTTTAGCGCGAGGGCAGCGCGAAGTCTTTGAAACATGCTTGACGGAGAGAGGGGATCGGTTTGAGGCAGGGCTTAACAGCGGTTCCCTGTCAGGACTGATGGTGCCATGGTCCTGGATGCCCGCCTGCAGGCCTGCATCATAGCCAGCTGTCCTGCGCCCCTGACGACCCACGTGAAGGTGATCAGCCTCTACACAGTCAAGCGTGAGGTGGGTATCTGAGTGCCCTTCTGGGCCCAGTCCTACCATTCGCGCAAAGCTGCCAAGGGAAGTCGAGTCATTCGCCGCGAGAAGGGTGCAGAGCGGCAGCATCCCGGCTTGTAGCTGGTCACATCGAGCAACAGGCCCAAGATAGCCCAAGCACAGCTGTGCTCGTACATGCGCAATCAGGTATGTCCATGCGGCCTCCTGAGTTGGGGCAGCGGTGCATGAGTGCCTTTAGCGCCTGCCCTCGTGGTTCCAGGCTTGCCCTTCATGTGACCAAGACGTCGGCTACACATCGAAGCCCCATGAGGAGCAGAGCGGTTCGGGAAAGCCGCAGCTTTGGGCGCTTTTCTGTGCAGCGGAGTGGAGGCTGACCTGGAGCTTGTGTATTTGTCCGACACGGCCGTCACGGTGCCCTGGCACAGGACAGGCTGTGCATACTGGCTGCACATGAGACTGTCACACATCGATGGCTTGCAGGATGAAATCGCCCTTCACCTGCAAGGTGCTGCGGTTTTGCATCCGGTAGAATTAGGCATTGACGACTCCATGCTTGAATGTTGGGCTTGGCCGGAGGTGAGTACTCGTTTCCATGCAGGTGTGCGGCTACATCTGCCAGAGTCAGGGGCAGCTGGAGTTTCACAGGCGGGCCGATCGGTGGAGTGTGAGATCAAGTTTCCTTTCTGTGCTGTAAAAGGGCTTCATGTTTGCAGGAAGCAGAAGCAGCACACCGAAGAAATGGAAAAGGAGCAAGAGGCCTTTTGCGCGGTCTTGCCGAAGAGTCTCCGTTTATCAAGCCGACTGCACAATTATGCAAGCGTTGACCCCGAACGGTGAAAGGGCATCGAGCACTTCAATCCCTACACCCTACATGCCGAAGAACTCTCTCACGAGTGTCCGTGACACTCCCACGACCGCAATATGTGCACAATACGAGTTCGATTGCGCACCCAGATGCACCCAGGCTGCAAGCGAGCGTTCCACACCCCTCGCAGGATTTCGAGACCAGACCGACAAGCATGCAGCAGTTTAATAGCCAAGCCCTGCCGGGGCTTGCGAGATTAATCCGCCTGGCATTGGACGTCACAAGTCTGGCGTTCACCCGGCCGGTGCAGAACTGTAGACAGAACGCGATCGGGGCCGGGGGCGTGCGCCGTGCAGCAACGAAATCCCTTGGCCGTCCACGTGAAGTAGGTAACCCCTAAACCCTAAACCCTAAAACCCCTAAACCTTAAGCCCTAAACCTTAAACCCTAAACCTTAAACCAGCAGCCCCAGGGTGACTCGGAAGCCGCCAGGCAGCCAATGAGCTGAAGCCCATCATCGTAGGCTGAATCTGATCCCGGTTGTGCGGTGTCTCGAGTTCTCCCGTGCTGGACAGTCTGTGGAGAAATCTGCCAGAAGCTGCCAGATGTGTGTGCTCGGCCTGAGGCATGACTGGAGCCACCCAGCCGCAGGCTTTCGAGAGGCCCCGAGCCCTAAATCCTGCACCCAACCTCCCGAAGAACCGGAATCCCAAGACCCGATTTCTTCTTTTCCGTCATATCTCGGCTCTCAGCCCGGGGTGCTCAGAGAGCCCCGGCGGTTCCCCGGCGTTCCGGGCACGTGCTGAGAGGAAGCCTCTGCGGGCAGTCCCAACTGGCATGGCTTCAGCTTTTTTTGCCGGCTCTTCTCGAGACCAAACTTCTGTAGATTCGTGCGCTCGGCCAGGCAGATGATAGATGCGCCCGTGGATATGGCTCCTCGCCGCGGCCCGAGCTAAACCTTTCGAAACTTCAAGCGGTGGCTCACCGCTTAACACTTAAATCAGCCTTACCGAAGCAGCCCAAAAGTGGCAAGAGAAAGCTCTCCGAGGCTGCAATCAGCACCCTTGTGCCGCCAGTGGCCGCATGGGTGCTCGTATCCAAAGAAGGACCGGAGATGGTTCACTCCATGTGCCGCTAGGGAAGTTCTATGCGGCAGGGCCCAAGGCCCTAGACGTTCATCGCGCAAGCCACTTGAGAAACTGCAGGAGACATAACTCTCCTGGGTCCATTGGACTTGGACCCGTCCTATAATCAAGCAGCCTGGTGGCAGATTGGGCATCGAACAATCTTCGGACGGTGTCTTCTTTCATACTGTGATGTTGATGCCGCCAGCATCGGAAGCATGCGTTGAACGCTGGCCCGAGTCGCAAGATTTCTTGCTTTCTTGCTGCGAGTCGAGCGAAATGTCATGAGCAAGCAGTTGCATGCCCTGCGCTCAGCTTTGATGCCAGGCCCCGAGAATAACGCTGCGATCGTCCGACTCCAATCGGATTGCTCAGGGCCGGTCTGTTTGTTAGCTGTCGCGAGGCTTTGTTGTAAGGGCCAGCCCCTCCGCTGTAGAAACCGGGTCTCAGAAGGCGGCATTGTTGAAGCACATTGCTGAGGTCCGGTGTGAGGCTTTGGGACATCATCGTGAGGGACGGAAGTTCTGAAGCCTTCTTATCACGAGCAAGTGCAAGGACAAAACGCCTCCGTTTTTGCAGGACTTATACGGAGGGAATGCCCTCGTCCTGCAGACGCCCTCGGGGGGGAAAGTGGCGCTTGGTGGCCCAGGGGATTGAAGTTTCGACAGGGAAGGAAGTAGACCTAGGTAGGATTCTTCAGATGAACTCTCTTCAGGTTCACGCCAGATGACGAGACATTCTTCAACACGACCCTCTCTGTGCTGAGAGAGGCAAAGTGCTTGTCGTCGGTGACAGGAATGAGTCTTTTGTCATGGATTGGGAGTTGTCTTTGGAGGACGTCATCGCGTAGAGCGCATGTTTATGATTAATGCTGCTGCTGATGCTGCTGCTGCAGCTGCTAAAGTAAGGGTGATTGTGATGCCGATGACAGCGACAGTTCCCGTGACAACGACGACAACAGCGACCAGGATGAAGAATTGCCTGAGGATGGCGAGGATAGCCAAAAGGATGATGGCTATGATGGCGGTGCTGACAAAGATGTTGCAGAAGAGCAATATGATGGTTGTTACGCTATGATGATGGTGATGATGATGACAATATGCTGATGTTGGTGATGGGCTGTTGAAGAAACTGATGATGCGAAGTTGGTCCGAGGACCCTAGTAACAATAACCCAGCCGGCATGGCACACGTCACGGCACGCTCTTGAACTGCTGCGCAAGCAGCCGTGCTGCTTTTGCGGTGCACCGCTCCGTTCTTTGTAATCGCCTTTGCTGAGATGTGAAATCCCATTAGCTTCCTGGGCATAGAAACAACCAGCAGGATGCTGTAAGCCGAAATAAAAATGCCACTTCGCTGCGTCATAATTGGCGGATGCGCAGGTCCGTCTTCGCCCGATGTTGCATTTTCTGGTGCTCCAAGCCCACAAAGCCTCGGCAGGATCGTCAGCAGCACTGAGCCTTTATATTCATTCCGTCCCGAGCCGGGAGGCGAATGCCTGTCTAGTGGCTCCAACGACTATTACTGCTACATAGGACGACGACGACTACGAGTACTAGTACTAGTACTAGTACTAGTACTAGTACTAGTACTAGTACTAGTACTTGTAGTAGTAGTAGTAGGAGTAGTAGTAGTAGTAGTAATAGTAGTAGTAGTAGTAGCTGTAGTTGTAGCAGCTAAGCGAGCCTCCAGGCCCCTGGTGTTAACCTTGCTTTCGGGCGTCTTTCATGGGTACGGGGGGTGGGGGGGTGGGGGG